AACATAGTTGTACAATTCACGCACCGATGGAAACGGGATTCAATTCTAAAAAAGGCACGTCGCCTTAGGCTGACGGCCCATGACGTAGGACTTCCGTTAACAGTGCCTATCTACATCAATGAGCACCTGTGCCCCAAACTTAAGAGGCTACTAGAACAAACCGTCGCAAAGAAAAAGGAATCGAACTGGAAATATGTGTGGGTTAGGAACGGTGAAATCTTTGCAAAGAAGGCTGAGAATACGGTTGTTGTCAGGATACAAACTAGCGATGACGTGGCAAAGATTGTAAGCGCCTAAAACAAAACAATATGAAAAACCCAAACTGCCTAGCACATACGTTGACCCTGCTGACTTGCATAAATTAACCGAAAAAGATAACCTAAATTTGTTCCACTTATATGTTCTCTCAGTGAAAAACAAAACTGAAGATCTTGAACTGCTGTTTAATAATGTTGGAGCTTTGATGTAATTATGTTTAGTGAAACATGGCACAATGAAGAATCATTCTACTTCACCCTCCCTTATTATCAATATTTTCATTTAAATCGTACAGATAATAGAGGAGGTGGAGTTTCTTTACAAGTTCAGTTTCCTACAACTTCGGTGTTGAGTGTAGATGCTTGAGCGTGTTGGTTATTAATTTACGATAAGGAAAGAGGGACATTAAAGGCAAACAGACAAGACAACCTGTCTTGTCTGTTTGTCTTTAATGTCCCTCTTTCCTTATCGTAAATTCGGTGTTGATACCACAATTTACAGTACTAACTGTGGATTACGAGTCACAATAAGAAATGAGTCAAACATCTATTGTGTTGTTTATCGTCGCCGGATGCCTGTTTTTCCAGATTTATAACCTTTTTTGAAACTTTGGTGGATTTTGCCTGTGTTCATAAATATATGTTATATGTAGGTGGCGATTTTAATAGTGATGTATTGACCCCTTCAGCTTCACAAGCAGAATTAATGAACTTGTTAGAAGTATTATCTGTTCACAACGTCATTAGTATACCGACACGTGTTACATGCTCTTCCTCTACAACAATTGATCTTTCTATCACAAATCGTGATGTGGCGCATATCACCGCTGGGGCAATACTTGCTGACATTAGTGATCACTTTCCAAGTTTTTTGCCTTCTACCAAAATTGTTAGGAAACAACACAAACCAGAACTATGTCCCTCTTTTCAACTAATCACTACTTTTACGCTAGATAAGTTCCGTGAAGATATTCGTTGCGTTGACTGGTACTACATTTCGAACGAGGAAACTGTGGACACAGCGTGTAACAAGTTCATTGAGATCATTGTCGAAATATATAACCGAAACTCTCCGTACAAAAAAGTAAAGAAAAATAAAAAATCCCGTAAGCCGTGAATTACCGCGGAATTACTGCAAAAATAAATATCAAAAACAAGATATTTAGCACTTTTATTAGAACAAAGGACATAAAATCATTGGAAAATTATAACCGTTACAGAAATAAATTAAATTCAAAGTTAAAACATGCAAAAAGGAACTACTATCATAAACTGTTTAACGAAACTATACAGGGAGATATTTTGTGGAAGCGACTCAGAAACGTTTTGCACCCAGTTGCTGAGTCGACCATCCAAAAAATAATTCTGAACGGAACAGACTACGATGGGGAGAGTTTAGCCAGTGCTTTTAATAGATAGTTTGCGAATTTGGTCCCCGCTAGGAATACTGTGTTGACAGGAAATCACATAACCACTCATGCTCGTGTAAGTGACGCCTTATTCTCTTTTCCCACAAGCGAAAACGAGGTTGTCAATACCTTTCATAGCTTAAAAAACAGTAAATCTCGTGACATAGATGATTTCGAAATAAAGCCAATAAGATACGTATTAGATTTACTTGCCCCTATACTCACACACATATTTAATCTAGTGCTAGAAACAGGTACCTTTCCTTTACGAATGCAAACCACTAAAGTAACCGTGATTCATAAAGGAGGCGATATAAATAATCTCTCCAACTATAGGCCTATTTCTATTTTTCCAGTATTTTCTAAGGGACTTGAGAAAATCATTCATTCACCCTTAATTAACTTTTTTAACAAGCATATGTTGTTGTCTAATCCACAGTTTGGTTTCCGGAAAAATATGTCGACTGAGATTGCGCTCATAAAGCAGAAAGGGATAATTATTGAAGCTTTTGAAAAAAAAAAAACTGGTTTCACTCGGCATTTTAATAGATCTTTCTAAGCCGTTTGACCACTTTAATCATAACATCTTAATTGCTAAGCTTGACATGTATGGTGTTCGTGGAACAATGTTATCACTAATTAAATCGTATCTCCTAAACCGTAAGCAGTGCGTATCTCATAATTCATTCCTATCATCTACTGAGGATATTAAATCAGGCGTCCCACAAGGCAGCTTCTTGGGTCCCCTTTTATTTATTATTTATATGAATGACATTTTCAATATCAATACTGAAGTACAGTCAATAGCATATGGTGATGATATAACCTTGTTTTCTGCAGGCACTGACCCCGATAAACTTATAGTTTCTGCTGACAATTTTCTCTCTTCCTCAAAAATATGGGCTGACTTGAACTGCTTAAAAATTAACGCCAATAAAACAAAGGCCTTATTGTTTAGATCCAGAAATAAAATAGCACGTGTGTCTACAAATCTTTGCTTGGGCGGAAATAATATTGAATTCGTTCAGGAAATTAAAGCTCTGGATGTTTTCTTCTCTGAACATCTTACGTGGTACCAACACATAAACCACGTTGGCATGAAATTAAAGAAACTTAATGGCTTCATGAATAAACATAGACATATTTTGCCACAAAAGAGAAAAAAAACTCCTATATAATTCTTTGTTTCTGCCGACTCTCACTTACTGTCATGTCATATGGGGAACAACTACAAATCAGAGCATGTTAAAGTTACTCGTCGCACAAAAAAGGGCTCTACGTATTATAACTAACGTTTCATGGTTTAAATCAACTCGTAAGTATTTTAATGAATTAAATATTATAAATGTGTGAAAAATGCATGATTTCAGACTAGTTTCTCTTTACAAAAATGCAGTAACAATAAACAACGCACCACTGCTAGAAATATTTAATCTAATCAAACATATACCATCGTATAATATAAGATAGCCCGAAATCTGGAAAATACCAACCGTCAGAACCTCGTATGGACATCAATCTATACTTCATACTTTGGCTGTTCTCCTTAACAACCTCGCAAAACAAAGCATTACACCCGAAACATCAACAAAATAGTCCCTGAAGTTCCATTTCATATTTTACTGATACGACGTTTTCGAATTTTTCTTTATGCTTATATGGTTTCTCGCCGTAGTATTTTTCTTGTGTGACCTTGTTGTATAGTATGTACGTATGTTTTTTTTTTTGTGTGCATCATGATGTCTGCAATTTCATCACCTTATGTTTTGCTTGTCCAGGTATGTAGGCATGTATGTGATGTATGTATGTGTGTATGTATGGCAGGTTGCATGTATAGTGTGTTATTTATGCTGATTCACCAGTTATAATAATTGCGTTATCATTACTTGATTATTACTTGACCCGGTATATATATTTTTGTGTGTTTATGTCTGTATTATTGTCACTCTACCTCTTCGTCGGTTAGACTTTAAATGTTCTGCTGTGCTTTGAGTGATTATTTAGTTTGAATTTCATTGTGTACTCTATGTCAAGTGCTGGGGGGCAGGGGCCTGTCAAGCTGCAACTGCAACTTTTTTCTCTGCTCTACACACTACTTTGGAGTGAAAACAGACGATTGTATTATTATTATTATTATCGTTTCTTCAAACTATGACGCGCGCCAGCTAATGGGATTCCAATGGCAATCCATCAGATTTCGGCTTCAATTCGCTCCATTGGGAGAAGGGAAACTTGGCGCCTATTGGCTAGGACTTTTGCCCGGATTCAAAGCAGGGAGCCATCTGATTGCGGCTTCACTTAGTGAAAGGAGTTTAGGTGCCATTTGGCGCGACATCAAATTTGATGACGTCGTCTCGCTCCATCAGACAGTTAATGTGTTCGCATTAATATTTAAGTATTCCTGAGCCGATTAGTGTGCCCGTTTAGATACAGTATGTATATTTTAGTATTTTATTACTGATAAAGTTGATTTTTTAATATTTTATTTAAAAGCTTAAATGTTGCGATTAGAGTGATGTATAGGCTAAAGAAATCTGCCAAAAAACGAAAGAAATACTACCTTGTATTTTGGGTAAAAACTTTCACGCTCTAGCAGGGTAACAATAACGTAATTTCATCATCAGCTACCACACTGCAATACCAGTATATAAAGCTAAAATACTGAAGTTTCCCGTATAGTGGGATTCAGAAAGTTAAATGCAACTTACTTCGATAATTTAAACCCGAGGCTGGGGCAGGAGGAATACATTTTTTTCACACTGGAAGAAAAGGCGACAGTAAAAATCGTTCTCTCTCCCTTTTATTTCGTTTTTCACTGTAAATATATTCCTTTCTCGGCCCCAGTCCCGGGTTGAAGTATTCATAGTAAACTTACAGCACCTCGCCTGCGCAAATGCTGTCATTTCGCATTCAATTTGACCGACTGCTCATTGGAGTTTGAATGTTCGGACATATACAAATATATATCTGATATTTAAATATGTTCTGTCTGTACCGCATAATATTTAGCGTAGTACTGCCTCGGTGGGTTTTAGGCAATGCGCCAGCGTGTGAGTCCCCGTTTCCGGGTTCTAATATCATTCCAGGTTCCCTCAAGTTAAAAGGGGCTTTTTACGGAGAAGACGCCTTATGATGGAACGTTTGGTTCCACGTGAACAAATTACCATGAGTTAGAAATTAATGCTCAGTTTTTTCACTCGGGCGTCCGACATGCCCGTCGTTGGTTAGGCACGTAAAACCACCAACTGTGACTCTTATTAATTACAGCGTAGTACTCAGTGATTAGGTGTATACAAACAAAGCTTAAGACTTTCGTACCAAACATCTTTTTCAGGGTTCAACTGGCTAAACTATGCCAACAACAGCTGCATAGAGCTTATCAAAGAAGGAGGAGAGATTGCATGCAATCTTACAGGACAGGGGGTGAGTCTGACAAATCAAAAAACAAATATTATAAGCACAACAATATTATAACGTCAAGGGACGGTTTTTTTTCTTAATAAAGTATCAAGTTTTGAAAATGATTTTCCAGTTAGAGCTTGAGTTTTGTAAAAATATCCTTAAATGGGTGTGCAACGCGCACAGAAACAAGCTGATTGACCTATCGCATCTAAACAGGTTTTGTAGTTCTGTCAAAGTACAGTTATCATTTATAGATCCTGGTTGCATTTATCACATGCAATATGCTGTGTGGCGAACCTGAAATTGGTAACAATTCAACATAAGAGTCATGCTCTTAGGTATTGTAATACAGTTTAACTTTTGAAAGAAGTTTCGTCTCAGTAAAAGTTTTTACTCGCGCACGGAACATCTGGGCTGTTTTTTTTTTTTATTTTTGCAATGCTATATAAATTAAGAAACAGAGAATGCCGCACACTCTTAAACGACGGAGGTGTGCAGCAGTAATCTCGTTTGTGTAAGTACGTCCTTACTAAGATGTTGCAAAGCTTAATTTCAAAAATAAAAAGATTACAAATTATAAAGACAAAGACGAAAAAACTCTTCAGACTTCTAAATAACAGCAAATATCACTCGATCAATTCGGGTTCACACATCCGAAAGACACACCACCTACTTTATTTTCTTCCCCAGCTTACTCCAACCATGGCAATGACGAACACGGCTTGCAATGATGGTGGTTAATGTCGCAGTTTATCACCAGAGAAAGTTCTGAAAGTAGCCGCTGAGTTCAGAAACCTCGCGCTTTCTTCCTTTGTTAACAAACAGCTCGTTTGTAGGCTGGGAAACGTCAAAAGGGTATTTCTTAGATACGGATCATTACAAAAAAATGCACAAACCACTGGCGACAACAATGCACAAACATTGGATGTAAGCATATTCATCTGACTAAGATGCAATACGATTTTTTTAGAAATGCTGTTTGAGTTTATTTTTGGGAAGCAAACGTTTTCGGGAGTTCGCAAATTAAGTAAATAGATAAGACGACAAGGAGACGAAGGCACACAAGTGAGAGATAATTATATATCTACACTTCCACGATCTGTGCTATATCGTCATTCATGACTACAGTTGAAGTTCAGAGACGGAAAGCTGACATCTGTAACACCTAACTTAGTTAGACAATTAAGGAACGTGCAAATCACCTTACATAGTAACGTTGGCGGAATTGTAATATTAAGTCTGCCAAGTGAGTGCCAGCCATGAACACATTTTATTCGGGAAAATTTAAATATATATTATTAACTCGTTATGTTCGAATTGAAACTGAATATTACCAACTGCTGAACGTTAGTTTTGTTTGTATTAAAAGATGCAGGTTATTCGTCAGACCGTTTTTTAGAAGTTAGAAAATATTAAAGGCGTGTAGTGATTTGTCAGGAATGGCGTATTTGTTATGGATCAATGTTTTTGATAAGATATGTGACCACGTGGTCGTTTTGATTTATGACTTGTATTTTGCGCAACGATTCATGAAAGTTAAGAAACAAATTAAGATGATTCTCATAAAAGTTTTGAACACACATTAGGATCCATAATAAATATTTATAGATTTCCAGCATAAACATAAATCAAGTTCTCTGAATGAAGACTACACTATTTTCAACAGTAAACTCTATGAGATGTTCTAACGTCCCATTACTATTTTTATTCACTTTAGAATGCCAAGAAGTAGCATACCTTCATACATTAGATGAGTTACTACATTGTCTCAAATGCTTTCAAGCATTAAGTTAAAAACGCTAAGACAAAATTGAATAAAAAGACGCAAACAGAAACTTTGCGATTCGGTCCAAGAAAGGTAAGGCCTGAAAAAAACGAGCGCAACCTCATACCTAGTTAGCGAACGACTTTCGTAAGTTCAGAACAGTGACTCAACCAACGTAATAAAATAATCTTTTTTTTTTATTTCACTCACAGGATTTTGAACTTTCCTCCGTGTAAACTTTACGCTTCAATGTATTTAAAAAAAAATTAAAAACTTTCGGATTGGCAGATTTCAATAGAAGGAAAACATCTATCCAGACTTCTTAAAGTTATGAGAGACCCGATATCGCCAGTTTTAACTGTATTTCTTACCTGCAAAGCTTCGCATCCTCGTTTTCTTGACAGGGCAAGTGTCCTGGTCAAGTGTAATCTATTTATAATTATAAACCAATATCTCTCACCAGCGGACTCATGAAACACTTCACATATACTCCTATTCTAGCTCATCTCTATCGATTCCACTAATTGTCTAACTATAATGCTTTTATAAAATCTCCATCATATATAACAAAAATTCGGTTTCATTATTTACCTTTATTACAATACTCACGATAACGACCAAACCGGCGTAAATTTCATCGTCCGTGACAATGCGTTCGATTCTGTCTTACAACAGGGACCTCAACCTAAAAGTCTAATGTATACGCATTGAGCCACGCATTCGTGATTAGATGATTTTACTTAAATTTTATAGAAGTAAGTTGAGGACGAAAAACAACATATATATTCTTTACCAATATCCAGCATTGCCTGATTATTTACAAATAAGTGTTATTTACATTTCGTTCAATGGGATCCCGGAAAACTCCATCTAGAAGCGCTTTCGGCAGTCCTATAGACGTTGACATGATTTTATTCAGGCCTAGCAACGTTACTTCAGGAATAAATGGCCATAATTCTACAGAATCTCAAAATATACGAATACACATTCCGCATAGTTTTCCAACTTTGTTTTTGCAGTAGCGTATTTTCAGGGAAAAAAAAAGCTCCTCTAAATAATAATCTCTGCAAACAGGGTTGGAAAATACCTAGGTACAAGTAACTGGAAATCGGTATCTAGGTACTTTTGTTGTACCTGAGGTACAAACCTAGGTACTTTAATTTCTCGGTATCTGTATTTGTATTTTAGGTACATTTTCCAGTAACTTGTAACTAAGTGAAGCTACTTTTTACAGGTACTTTTTAATTCACTTCGTCAAAATGGTAGAAACTATAAATCTTGAAGTATTAACACACTACCATGCGCCGATATTAACGTTGAGTTGGGAACGACATCGGAGGCACTGACTTGATCGAACGACGTTTTAGCGAACGAAGCCCCTCCTATGATGTTTCATCGAACGACACACTTCAGTGAATGTAGGTGTTCATTTGAGCGAACGGTGGATTAGCGATGCCGTTCTAGCGACACCAATTTATTTAATCGCTTCGGAACTCCGTTTAGTGAAAATAGCGACCTGTTTCCTTCATCTCAAACCGAAATGGATTTCATTGCGTGTTTGAAGTTTCTCTGACAGCTATACAAGGAAGGAGATAACTTGAACGATGGTGCGCAGTTTCTGTTGCCCGTATCTTGCCTTGGTGGTGGCACTGTTCTGCCATAAATACAATATAAAATATAATTGCAAATAAATTTTAATTAGAATCGTAAAGCAATGTCAAGCGATCATCAAGCGATATTGTTGTTTTGACAGAAACGTGGCTTTCAAGTGTTGTCCGTGATAATGAAATTGTTTACTCTGTTAAATGCTACAATTTTTATCGGTGCGACAGAACCGATAGGCGAGCGGGAGGTGTTTTAATCACAGTGAATAAAGCCATTGAATCTTATCACGTGAATATTGTTTCCCCGTTGGAGCTTGTTTCCGTACGCCTACAGTGCGCTTATAGAAATATTATTTTGTGCGTTTGTTACCCTCCTCCCAACGCTCCTGCAAATTTTTGCTCGGATTTGCATGATGCTTTAAATATGATTTGTTCAAGGTTCCCCCTGGCACCCATGTTTTTACTAGGTGATTTTAATCTTCCCTTGATCAACTGGTTTTGACCGTTTCCCGCTGCATCTAGTAGCTCTTCTGAGTACTCGGATTTTATTTGTCTCTGTTCTGATTTTTCTTTTTCTCAATGTGTCACTGAGCCTACTCGGATTACTGATGCGACGGCCAATGTGTTAGACCTTATTCTTACAAGTGACCCTAATCTCGCTTCTTGTATAACTTATTTAGCGGGCATTAGCGACCATGCTATTTTGAATATCAGCCTGCAAGCTTCCTCGCATGTTGCTAACAAATCTACCAAACACTTTCTCGATTATAGCAAAGCAAACTTCGGTGCAATAAATAACGAGTTGGCTTGCTTTTTTGACGAATTTTTGCCTGCGTTGTCAGAACGCACTATTGAGATTAATTGTGACATGTTTAAAAACAAAGTAAATTCTCTAAATAATTTATTTATTCCGTGTAGGAATATCGTATCTAACCACATGTCTCCCTGGTTTAATGTAACTCTTAAACACCTTGCTAATAAGAAAAACGCCTTTTCCGCTCTGCAAAGTCGTCTGGCCTCGCTGAGCGCTGAGAGCTTTAAAAATCTCTTGTCAATGCCTATAAGGCAGCCATCAAGCAAGCAAAACTGACTTTTTTAATGTTACCCTTCCTTCAGTGTTAGCAAATAGCCCTAAACAATTTTGGAGTGTTATGGACGGGCCTAAAAGAGTGGCTGCATCGCTCACTAATGTTGAGGGTATTGACATTCCGAAAGCTCAATGTGCATTCATTCTGAATGACGTCTTTGTCAAGGCGTTTACTGATAATGATGGTTTAGATTATCCTATTTTTCCAGATTATGCATTCTTTCCCATGGATCCGCATGCTTTTGATTACGACGGGATTGTAAAGTTGATTGATAAATTGAAAGTTTCTTCCTCGTGTGGTGTTGACATTACCTCTAAATTTCTTAAGAACACTAAACATTACATGTCAATTTTTCTTACAAATATTTTTGAGCAGTCACTCAACCTTGGTGTCTTACGGGATGATTGGAAAAAAGGAAAGGTGGTTCCACTTCACAAGACAGGTAACAAACATAATCCTCTTAATTACAAACCGATTTCGTTAACCAGCACCCCCTGCAAACGTTTAGAGCACATTATTTATTCTCACTTAGTTAATTTCTCAGGTTCACATCCTTTCTTTTCA